TTTTGTAGGGTCTTAAACCTACAATGTGAAGTAGGATTCATCATTAAATTTGGAAAAAACGACATTTATGTTATTTGGAAATTATAAAAAAGATGCCGAAGCAAAGTTATTAGTAAATAATGTCGAATTAGAGCAAGTTTCGGATACAAAATTTCTGGGTGTGATAATAGATAACAAAATCTGCTGGAAACCTCATATAAAGTATGTACAAGCTAAACTGTCAAGAAGTGTCTCCATACTGAGTAAAGTTAAATATTTTTTGCCTTCCAAATCACTCCGGGTACTTTACTGTTCACTTATATTGCCATATTTGGAATACTGTGCGGAAATTTGGGGAAACACATATAAAACTTCACTTCAACCAATATGTAAAATTTAAAAAAAAGCAATCAGGATGATTAGTAAAGCTGGATATAGAGACCATACTAACACCATGTTTTTGAAATTAAAAATATTGAAGTTTATGGATCTTATAAAATACAAAACGGCAAAAATTATGTATAAAGCTAGATACAATATGTTACCAAGAAATATACAGAGGATGTTCTATGACAGAGAAGGAGACTATGAACTAAGGGGTAAATTGAATCTGAAGATTCTTAAAGCACGGTCAAATGTTAAAACCTTTTGCGTAACTATTTATGGAGTAAAACTGTGGAATAGCTTTACTGCAGAATTACAGCAATGCTCAGGAATTGGCAAGTTCATAAAGACACTTCGAAAATTACTCTTGGAAGGATATGATATTGAAAAAGACAATCACCCATTGTATGTATAAATATGTCAACTCGTATTTAAATTATAAATATCGTGCCAGCCTTGTTGATATAAGTTTTCTTGTGTATTGTGTGGAATATGTGATGAGGAGAATTAGGTAAATATGTGGGATTAATAAGATGTTGAGCAGGGGTAAAAAAAAAAAAAGGTGTAAAGTGTGCATGTTAGTCCCCGTAGGGAAATAGTTCCTCTGCATTTAACCCATTCACCCAGTGAAGCAGTGGGCAGCCACCAATGCAGCGCCCGGGGAGCAGTGTGTAGGGACGGTACCTTGCTCAGGGGTACCTCAGGGTAGCCGTTCAGTGGAGTCGAACCACCGACCTTCCGATCATGGGGCCACCACTCTACCTACTGAGCTATCCCTGTCCTGGTAGGAGTTAATAAGTATGTGCATACTTCATCCTACTCCTTTTCAGACCAAACAACTGTTATCTCATGTTAGACGAATGTGTTTTATTTTATTATATTTTTCTTGTTTGTCTGTACAAATACGTGTGTGTGTGTATATCTACACATATATTCATATTCGTAAATGAAAATACATATAGATGAGTATATATTGTTTTTTTGTTTGTTTTATTATGTCTGAAATAAATAAAGATACAAATACAAATAAAAATACAAGTGCCTTGGCATTCATTTTGTTGGCACCATACAAATAAACTGAATTGTAATGAATATAATATCAAGCCCCACACTTCTGCCTTTATATACACTTTGTCCAAAATACTGGCTCACACCACCAAATCAATGCACAAAACAGGGTCCACAAGGACATGGATGAGCGTGTGTGGTGTGAAGGAACTTGACTGACCTGCACTGAACCCTGATCTTGCTTTGTGGACTGAGTTCATTGATTTGTAGGGTGAGCCTGTCATGGTCCTGAGTCTGAGGACTCAGTGTTTTGTGTTTCTTTATGCTTTGGTTCATTCCGAGTGTGTATTCTGTTGTGATTTTGCCATTTGTTAGGTTTCTGTTCTTTGCCTGCCTGCTCCCACTTCTCTGTGTTCCCTCTGTCTGTCCATGGTGTTATTGTGTCTGCTCATGAGTCTGCCTGTCAAGTTCAGTGTCCTGTCTGGTTCTCTGTGTCTGTTAGTTTCCTGTTTTATTCTGAAGGTCTCTGTCTGATGTGAGTGTGTTCAGGTTACTTTTCCCCTGTCCCGTCAGCCCAGATTCCTCCCAGCTGTGTTGCCCTCCTGTCTCTCATCCCCTGATTACTGGTGTGTGTATTTAAGCCCTGTGTGTTCTCCTGCCTGTTGCCGGTTCGTCTGTGTTACTCCGCGTCAGTCTGTGTTACTCTATGTCCTGCTCGTCTCTCTGCTTCTCATCCCTTTTTGTTTCATCTCAGGTTTGTCATTTAGCTTTCCCAGTTCAGGTCTTTAGTTTTGTCTTCCCTCTTGCCTGTTTTGCCTTCTTACCACTGTGTAAATAAACTCACCGACATCTCATCCACTGCCTGCATCTTGGGTCCTTCTTCTAACTCCACACGGCTCGCCTCGGCAGCCGTGACAGTGCCAGTACATGTGACAATTAAAGTGTAAGTAGCTGAAATAATTTTTAACAAACGGGTAAAAGAAGGAAAAAAATCAAAACTGTTGCACTCAAAAAACCTATTGGACAGAGACAGCGTCTTGCAAGATGGCAAGAGAGCTTGTCTTCATTGTTGTTCGTCTTGTGTAAATGTCCAGAAAGCATGGGCCATGGATCATCTGTGGAGACACAGGTAACAACACATTGGACACTTAAATTATACAAGAAATTCACTAAAAATGGCAAAAACAGTTACCTAATTTGAAGTTCTCCACTCAAATTCAGTAAGCCGCTGGAGGAAAGTTGTGACATGAGGGTTAATGTGAACAACCTTTCGCTTCACAGTGGTCCCAGGGCAACATGTTGTCATTATGCAACATAAAATAATTTCAATACTTCACTTCTTCACACTGTCTAGATAGTCATAAAGCAAATAGCTATGTACAGTTAATTATTAATGGCCTTATGTACATAAGTCCATTTTAACATATTATAATTGTACATAATTGGGAATTATTCTGCACATTAAACACACCTAACAAAAGTCAGCCCAGTTAAATTACCGGAGATGAATCAACTGTATGGTTATTTTGGAGTTTATAGTTTGTGCTGCTGTTAAACTTTACAGTATTGACTTCAGTATTTCTGCTGTTGGTGTAGCTAGACTACTATGTTGATCAGTAATATGTAATGTGAAATTTGATATTGTTACTTTGCTGGATTCACTGAGACACATGTCCAACAACCTTGGTTTATAAAGGAAATTACAGAAATTTGAGCTAACAAAACAGAGACTGGATACCTGTGTCCACGAAAAGCTCCTGTGCCAAACAGAAATTTTAATATGGTCTAATCAGCTCTATTTCATGAATGACTTCTTACCAAGCATAATCAGCCTTGGGGTGCTTGGCAGGCTTTTAACATGCAAACTGAACAATATAAATTTGCGTGCACTGAAGCCACAAAATTTAGAAATACACATAGTTGCAAAAAGTTCAGTGACCAATTACCTGACATATGCAATGCAAAAAATAAGAGTATTGTCAATAGGGACCAATTCCCAGTTTTTACATGATCAAAATTATTCACAAAAGGCTTCAATAAACAGAAAATGTGTGCCGACAAGAGAACAGTGCACAAAAATGAAAAGATATTTGAGCTCAGTGCTTTACCACCTCAGACGCTTGAGAGACTTCCAACTGCCCTCCAAGGTGCTCAGGAACTTTTACTCGTGCACCATAGAGAGCATCCTGACGGGAAACATCTTAACCTGGTTCGGGAACAGCACCATGCAGGACAGACGAGCTCTACAGAGGGTTGTGCGGTCAGCTGAGCGCACCATCCGCTCCGAGCTCCCTGACCTGCACTCAATCTACAGCAGGCGGTGCTGGACCAAGGCCAGGAAGATCGTGAAGGACCTCAGCCATCCCAACAACAGACTGTTCTCTCTGTTGAGGTCAGGAAAGCGATTCCGCTCCCTGAAGACCAACACAGAGAGACTGAGGAGGAGCTTCTTCCCGCAGGCGATACGGTCTCTCAATCACACCACCACACAGTACTGACCCACACATATGGTTCTTACACACACACTGGACTTTCTGGACTTTGTTTTTGCACAACACTGGTCACTATATTCTTCATTTCCGGTTAATACTTGTACAGCTGCTGTTATTGTGTATATATTTATTTATATTTAGATTTCTTCATACATTCTTATATAGTTCTATATTGTGTATTTTGTTGTACAGTTATTTTATTTTCAACTTTAATTTATATATTTTATCTTATTCTTCCCAGTTAAATTTACCCTTCATTCTAATTTGTGTTGTACAGTTATTTCATTTTTAACCTTAATTTATATTTTATTCCTTCCTAGTTAAATTTACCCTTTTTAATTTTTCATATTTATTTCCTATCTTATTCATAGCCTTTTCCTTTTTTGTTTTCTTTAGGTCACGAGCAGTTGTCCAAGCATTTCACTACATATCGTACTGTGTATGACTGTGTACGTGACAAATAAAATTTGAATTTGAATTTGAATTTAATGGGTTTAACATGACTTAGTCAGCACTCCGCACCGGTAGTACAAGCACACCTGAAAACACTGACCAGCTAACAGCTTTAAGCATTTGGGCGCAACCTCGGTAGTTCACCGATTCACCTGTTGCAAACGTCCAAGTTTCTATCAAGTCTCATAAATCCATCGGCAACTATTACCTAACTAGTCTTTTGAGTCTCCACATTCATAGATATTGACATTTTGTCTTAGCATTTGAATGAAAATATCCTGGTAGGGTAGCTTAAAAGTCAAAACAAACAGTAATAAGAACGCATTTCGGACTTCTCTCGAATAAGTGAAAAAACACTTACCTTCAGACTGATTAGCTGGTTCCGATCCAACTTTAATGTGTCCCATGTCAGTCCGTTTTAGGGAAAAAGTGTTAAGTGGTTTCATTTAATTTTGAGATACTCCCGCATGGATGAGCAATTTGGAGTCTAGCAGAGTTATCACGAATAGCATATGATCTTCAGATATAATCCAATCAACCTTGCATTTAACCCGATTGAACATCCAGTTACCTCTGACACTTCTAGTTGCACATGTTAACGGTCTCATCATCACTCTGTGCTGCAGCGAACTGGATCTGTGGCACAGAATAGTTGATGGCCATATCAGCACACATTTCGTGATAATGTGTTACATTATCACGTATATCCAGGACATCTCTTCTGAACCAAGACGAAGTGGTGCTACAAAGGAATTATTTCTTTAGGAGAGTGCATTTAATAGCAGTCTGGCCTGCAACAAAATGCACCGCTAAAAATACAGTTTCTGCTTGTCCCAGAATTTATTAATTTTGAGAGTGAAGTTGTAGGACTGATGCTGGTTAGTGGTGTAGGTTTTATGGTGTATGGGGCGATCGTGGCTCAAGAGTTGGGAGTTCGCCTTGTAATCGGAAGGTTGCCGGTTCGAGCCCCGGCTTGGACAGTCTCGGTTGTTGTGTCCTTGGGCAAGACACTTCACCCGTTGCCTACTGGTGGTGGTCAGAGGGCCCGGTGGCGCCAGTGTCCGGCAGCCTCGCCTCTGTCAGTGCGCCCCAGGGTGGCTGTGGCTACAATGTAGCTTGCCATCACCAGTGTGTGAATGTGTGTGTGAATGGGTGGATGACAGGTTGTGTAAAGCGCTTTGGGGTCCTTAGGGACTAGAAAAGCGCTATACAAATACAGGCCATTTACCATAGGTTTCATGGATGTGACACCTTAACTTGTGTAAAATGACGACCAGAGCATATTATTAGGTTAGTTCACTGTAGTTAGGCAGAGGTGTCTTAAAAAGTACCACCTTATACAAAACAAATGAAGGTCCAGTATAAGAAAGAATAAGAAGAGAAAAAAGGAACACCCTGCTAAATGAAGTCATTTTTAAACATTACTCTAAATGTAGCCATTAGTTTTTGTTGCTGGCCATACAAAAAATAAGTATACTTCAATTATATTTCCCAAGTATACCTTACCTAGTACGTATACTAATAATGCTTCTTGGGACTATATTGGCCCCCGTTTTAGTACATAACAGTATTCTTGAAATTAACTTTTAGATGTACTTTTTGTTCACCATAATTGTACTAGCATAATGTCATAATGTCTACAAGAGTATAATTAAAATATACTCGACTCTATCACAATACTAACCTTACAAGTATACTATTAATTAATAGTATTAATAATGTTTCACATTGTTTGAATAAACAAATACATTTATTAATATATGAGGTTCCATTCAGCTCAAGGAATTAAATTTTAGTGTGGCTGCAACTTACTCCTTAAGTTAAAAATTGTGCTGTATATTGTAGTTTATATGTTATACTACTTTCACGGTGAATCACATTTTATAGTAATACACTCTGAATGAGGATTTAAGTAATTACTCTTAGATCTACAGTAGAAAACAACAGAAATCCGGATGGTGTAATAGTATAATCTCAGTAACATCACCAATTGTTACATTTGCTGTATTTTACAGCTGTTTCCATGAGTACGGTGAGTTACCGTAAAATAATGTAATCTCATGGAATTTTCTCACAATTACATGCAAATTACAGTACTAAACTGCTAACATCCTTTAGAGTTTTTTACTGTTGATTTTGCAGTTCTAAGCTATGGAAATTACTGCAAAGGCTAACAGTGTACATAAGGGCTCTGGGTGGAATAACAATCACTAGCCAGTTATCCTGAATAACATGTGAATAGTATAATTGACCTTAACCCAAATCTAACATTGATTATAATGTGCAGAACTGACAGCAGAAAACTGACTGAACATTCCACTCATACGCAATCTTGTGCTGTCACGTTGTACTAAATAACTCCTTTCATATATCTGTAACCATCTGAATATGGTAGAAGGAAAGACTTGAATAATGGGAAGTTTTGTTTTGCATCTTTGAAATGCTGTAAAAAGTTGTGTTACATTTATAGTTTTGGTATCTTTGAATGAATGATTGAATACTCCTGGAGTGCAGTTAGTTTTCCGTGAACTTCAATTGTCATTTTGAGTATCAAAGTACTAAAAGTATACACTGTTGCAGAGATGTAACTGTGAATTAGTGCTCTTGTTGCCTCCAAAATGTATAGTTCTATCAGTCACAACAGATGTGTGAGCTGTATACTGTTTTTTGTGTGTACAATATACGTGTGTGTGTGTGTGTGTGTGTGTCTGTGTGTTTGTTTATGCATGAGTGAGTCATGGTGACAGGGTTGCTCGTGAGGCAGGCGCTCTGGCACTATGACAGAATGAGGTCGCCACACTACAGAATGACACGCTCACCATGTCAGCCTCTCTTTCGCGTACACACACACCTCACCATGTCCCTGAATAAGTCAGCTTGGATAATAGTGATGCCTTTGGCTGTGAAACGTTGCCCGTCTCTCAAACATACACATAAACAAAGAAGAGAGAGTTTGCATAGGTGCACAAAACATTGATATGGTTACGCAGGAGTCCTAGCTGAGTCACGGTTTAGAAAGTCCTTTTTAGGTATTTTTGCTTCTTTAAAACTGTTACCACATTATGTGCCATGTCAGAAGAGTTTCTTCTCTGAAGAAAGGACAGTAAAGGAGAAGTCCCATTTCCCACGTTTGGTGTAGTGTGTTGCATCATGGGAATGATCAGAAGAGGCAGGATGAGTCTGAGATTATTCAGACTGCTTGGCTGTAACTACATCTATTGTATTACTCTTATTTAACACAGTCGTGCTCTACAGGTGGGCTGATAGTGGTGGTGGTGTGTCATTTCTGGAATGACTACAACGCATATTGGTCACAGTTAATTGAAAAGCAAAAGGGAGGGTGAATATGTGGGGGAGGGAGTAACGGCAACAGCCAGTGCTGGAAATAAAGCTGTAATTGTGTGAGCATCAAGCATACAGGAGGAACAGAACGGAGCTTACCTCGAGCACTAAATTAACAAAGGATAACCTTAAGGTGTTAGTGGTGTCTCAGGTATTAGTCATCGGTTATTTCAGCAGAAACCACCTCATTTCCATTTCAAGATAACTCTTTGTGGATATCAAAAAGAATTAAATAGAATAAATATAACAGTTTATTAGCGATGTAATCAACTTATAGATCAAAATGTATTCTAAAGTTTTGTCTCATCAAAGTTGCCACTTTTGGCTGTCATAACAGCTGAACACACCCTTGGCATTCTTCATACAACAGAAATCAAATAGTTTTTATAAAGTTCTTCCCATATCTGTTACAGAAGTTGCCATCCTTTTTGTGTTAAGTTGGGGTCGGCTTCATCCTCTGTGGCCCCTCTGCTTTGGGGTGTGCCACAGGGATCTATTCTTGGGCCATTATTGTTTTCACTGTACCTTTTGCCTCTTGGCGTGATTTTACAAAAACAAAGTGTCATTCCATTTATATGCAGATGACTTCCAGCTTTATTTACCTTTTAGTCATTCTGATAGTCTCCCAAGTCGACCTCTGCTTGACTGCCTTAGTGATGTTAAAGCATGGATGGCAAAAAACTTTTTAAATTTTTAATGATCGGAAGACGGAAGTGATCTTATTTGGCCCAAATCGTTTTTCTCACGCTCCAGATGTTGATCTTGCAGCTTTGACTTCCCATTTAAAGAGTTTGATCACAAATCTCGGAGTAAAAATTGATTCTGCACTTACCGTTGATAGTCACGTAAACAGGGTGGCAAAATCAGCATTCTATCACGTCAGATGTTTGATGAAGGTTAAGCCCTTTCTTTACAAGTGTGACTTGGAAAGCGTTATTCATGCCTTTATCACTTCACGCTTAGATTATTGCAATTCTCTTTTAATAAGGGTTGGGCAGGGCACTTTGTCACGCTTGCAACTAGTGCAAAATGCCGCGGCACGATTTTTAACTGGCAGAAGGAAATTCGACCACATCACTCCCTACATTGGCTTCCAATTGATTTTAGGATCCGTTTTAAAGTCCTTTTATTGGTGTTTAAATCTCTAAATGGTCTGGCACCTACTTATTTGTCTAACTTGTTGAAGCTCCATGTCCCCACTCGTTCCCTTTGGTCAGCTGAGCAGTTGCTGCTTTCGGTCCCAAAGTCACAGCTGAAACTTAGAGGAGACCGAGCGTTCTCTGTTGCAGCGCCGATGCTTTGGAATAACCATCCTCTCAATATTAGACAGGCTACATCAGTGCCAGTTATCATTAAGTCCTTATTAAAAACCAATTTTTATTCCCTGGCTTTTAACTCTGTGGATAACTGACATTTTATAAATTTTATTGCTATGTCTGATTTTGGCTATTTTATTACTATATTTATATTTGTATTGTACAGCACTTTGTGTTTTTAAAGTGCTATATAAATAAATGATGATGATTAATGTGTGGCACTTATAGATTGCTTTGCTTTCACTCTTCCATCCAGTTCATCCGAAACCAGCTCGATGGGGTTTAAGTCTGGAGACTGTGCCGACCACTCCATGTTTTCAAGCTTGCCATCTTGTTTTTTCTTTCCTGAGGTAGTTCTGGCATAGCTTGAACTTGTGTTTTGAGCCATTTTCTTGCTGTAGGATGAACCCCAGACCAACTAGTCACATACCAGAGGGTATTACATGGTGCTGCAGAATCCTATGGCAGCCGTTTTGGTTCAGGGTGCCTCTTGCTCTGTACAAGTCACCGATCCAGCAAAACAGCCCCAGACCATTACACTTCCTCATACAATTTTGACAGTTGAGGCCACAAACTGTACAACAACGCCGTACAAAGATCCTGCGTGATGAAGCGAAGATTTAAAATTTTGATTCATCAGTCCAAAATACCAGTCTTCAGTAGTTCAATGGTGGTGTTTCATGGCCCAGGCAAGCCTCTTTGTCTTATTCTGATGTCTTACCAATGACTTTCTTGCTGCAACTAGTCCTGTCAAACCTGTAGCTCAAAGTCTTCTCTGTTCACAGTTGAACCTGACACTTGCTCACTATGACCACTTTTAAGCTCTGCTTGAAGCAGTTTTCCTGTGAGCTGCCTATGACACAAGCTGTTAACTCTCAGAAACTTGTCCTCTGATTCAGTTGTGGCTTTGGGTCTTCCAGACCTCTTCCTGTCAGAGTTTGACCCAGTTTCTGAGTGCCTTTTGATGGTTAAGTCAACTGCACTCACTGACACCTTGACTTTCCTTGCAATTTCCCTGTAGGGAAGACATACATTTTTAAGTGTTATCATGGTCCGTCTCTCTTCCTGTTAGTTGCCTTTTTCTCGCCATTTTTGTATCAACACACTACTTTCTGCAGTACAATACTGTTCAACTGATGGTCACGAGGGTATGGTACCAGGGTGTGTTCCAACACTGCTTTCATGCAGACAGAGAGGGTTATAAGTAATGCAGAAAAGCTGGAACACCTGTAGTAATTAGTAGCAACAGCTTTCAAGACTTGATCAATCTCTATTGCTGCAGAACATCTTTAAATTGTTAACTCATTTTGTGTTCCCTGAAAAAGGCATTTTTTTGTGTAAGTCTGAAATGTACATTATTTATCAGTTTTGGGTGACCTTACCTTTTTTTTTTGGCAGTTCACCAATTACCTTTGTACCCTTTCAAGCTATTCATTGGACTTGAACGACTTGAATTACAATAAATAACTGAAAACATTTGGGTTTTCTTAAACTGGAAGTGTAATTTTAAACATAAGAATGACTTTTATTACTTGTGTAAAATTCTCTTCCAGTCAGTACCAGACTACCTTCACTCCACTGACAGTCATACATACATAGTGCCTCCACCACGTTTGACATATA